AGAAATTTCACAATGAATCAATGTATTTTCACAAATTATTTATTAAAATTGTTTAAAAAAATAAAAATAAAAAGTAGACCAGAATCCAATGAACAGGCTGCGTTTACTCCATTTTCCTAAAAAAAAAAAAGAAAAAAAAAGTGTCCTGTAAGTGGTAGAGTATACAGAATACAGTCTGTACAGTATAAAAACCATTACAGCTATGAAGAATCCCCATAAACAATTAATGGACCCTTTTCACAAAACTGTTATGATGTGTTGTTAAAGATCATCTGCATCCTAAATACCTTAAAGTTTTTAATATTTAGATTTTTTAAACTTATGTACATTTACATTCATTTATGTATAATACAATCTTTATGTCAAATTAAAAAAACAATGCGAGGAGTATCTAATGAAGTGTCTATGGGGACAGGACAGTAAATTTGACATTGTTTTCTGTAGCAAATAGAATTGTAAAAAAAAAAAAAAGTTGTACTCTCTCATTCACTGCGCTCGGAGTTTACCAACTATGATGATTTCAGCTGCTAAAAAACACGCAAATGTGAAAAGGGTCCATACAAGTGTGTGCGTGTGTGTGTGTGCGTGCATGCACAAATGATTACCTTACTTGTAACTTGTGCTCATCATTTACTTTTTCCCTTACTGCTGCTCTGATCAATTTTATTGGTACGTTTGGAAACCTTCTTCTGTACTACGTCTGTAAATTCCACTCCTTCTGAATATCCTCCTCCTGAGAGTTTCTTTGTTCTCTAAAGAGAAATAGATAAAGTTGAAAATACTTATCTTCAATCATGATAAAGCATGAGCAGGATTTAAGTTTCTGTTGATATGATAACCTTGGATAAAATATCACAATATTGTGATTACTGCTCTAAAATAAGTTATTTTTAAAAATCTGAGTAAAAAACAACAACTTAAACACATTTTATTTTAGAAAAGATTTTAAATATTTTGGAACGGCAAACATGTCAGGCTAAATAATTAAAATAAATCATTGACTGCTGCTGTCGTCATTAGTTTCAAAAACACAGATTTCTTTACAACACATAAAAAACCTTTACAAATACCTTGGAAACGGTATAGCAGAAAATATTGGTGGTTATAAAACCGTGACTTTTCCAAACAGACATAAACCTTGAAACCGGTTATTGTCCAATGCCTACTCATGATCACAAGTCTTGATGTTTGCTGTACGTTTTACCTTTAATGTCTAGAACTGTAGCTGGTGAACTTTCATCCTCATAGGCAACATCCACAACATCCCCAGGTTTAAATTTCTTTTTCAGTAGGTTCTTTTTAGAAACAATAATGTCATAGGTCGATGGTTCCTCCCTCCATTCCACTAATGTTAGGACTCATCTTTTGCCCATTTTCTAAGATAGATAAATATATAGACATAAATAAACACACACATACATGCACACAATTAATTCTGATGGCTACAGCTAACTGTATCCATGACAACAGTTTTACCTTAATGTACCTGCCAAAGAGTAGTTTGCTGTCCGGCCGCAGCGATAAATGATTTCTGAGGTAACAAAAAACTATATTAGCACCATTTATAAGCAGTGAAAATACTAAATAAAACACTGGTTATGTTAACAATGATAAAAATATCATTTCATATAGTCATTTTTTAAATTAAGTTCTGATATGATGGGCGGTAGTAGACCTTAGTATATTACGTTAGCAATGTACTAGTATGTACTAGTAGTATCTCGACTTTAAAAATCAGGTAAGTATTTGTTTTGGTGTTACAAAACAATTTACTGATTTAACATTAAAACAGAGCATTTATTAGAGCACTTTAACGATAAAATAACTTAAGAAAAGTGTTTTACCTTCAGAAGACGGTTGGTGACAGTTGACTGACGTGCATTCGAATCGGCGACGTGAAGCGAGTCATCTCAATGAATCGAATCTTTTCTCTGAATGATTCATTTTACCGGAGTTTATAATGTAAACTACACTGTAACGCCAGTAGGTGGCGAAAACGAGCGTCTTTTTTAAGTGTGAAAGACTGTGTGAATCTGTAAAGCACAGATTCATCAAAACACACGTATTCCACAAACAAATCATTTATTTTGTTAAAGAAAAAAGTCTGTTTATAAGAATGTTTATTTTAATGTGTCTACTCAAGTCCATTTTGTCAAATAATACACACACATATATTAGTAGTAGTCATTATTAACTTAAAATATTGTAAATATATAATGTGTTTAAAATAGACCTATACATTATTGGCAGCAATGTATTATCTAATTTTAATTTAGCATTTATATCTTATTTTATTTAAAATGTTTAACAAATGTTTATATTAATTTAATAATTAAATTTACTCTAACATTGCAGAAAACACATTATGTTTACCAATCACCTGAACAATAACCGTAACCTGCTTCTTTTAAAAGAATAAAAATGGAGTAAAAATTGTACTTAAATGAAGAGGCACCAGTTTCAGCTGCCACAAAAAGGCAATGGACACAGAATAAAATAGGTTGCTCAGGTCAAAAAGACAGAAGCTGCGTCCCAAATCGCATACTTATGCACTATTCTACGCCATTTTGTAGTATAAATAGTGTAAGTAGTGTGTTCACACTGAAAACTCTTAAAGTAATAAGTGCACTTTAATTACCCGGATGATGCACTCATTCAGTCGCTAAAATGAAGTGTGTAATGATGGACACTTCACGCACTCAACGACCGCAGGTTTGCTTACGTAGCGGAAGGGGCGGAGCTATCGGACGCACATGTTGGATAACTTTATTTATTTTGGATGGAGAGAGCAAAATTCTCCTACTAGAGTGATTATATTGCCTCCCGATGGTGAATGCGGCAATACTCACGATAGTTATTATTTGATAATTCGGTCATTTATTTCACTGATTTGGCAACTGTCAAACGTCATCAGGGAAACGGTTTGAATTTCCGTTTAGTAAAAAAACATTAGTGTGCCATTTGGGACGACACTACATACATGTACTATCCTGTTGAGTGTGTAAGTGCATAAGTACATAGTGCATGAGTGCATAGTGTATAGTGTGCCATTTGGGACGCAGCTAGAGAATAAAGGATAACAGCAACAAACATTTTAAAAGAAAGAGGAAGAGACTCTGTTGAACTCATAAAATGCACAGACATACGTTTAACATATATCTACCTCAAGGACAGGTCTTGCATTTTTTTTAATTTATTTATTTATTTTTTATTTTTTTAGCATCTAACCAAACAGATTTTTAATAAATGAAAAAAAAGTATAGAAATGAAACGTAAAAGTGTACAGCTTGCTTGTTTGCATAAATGCATAATTTGAATGGTTTAGTGTAATGGTTGATTTTTATAATTGCCTATAATCTATTTGTATACTTTATGTAGTTATTTTCTTATTTTTTGTTTGTTTGTTGTAATGTTTATCTGTTAGAACTCATATTGTATTGCTACCAAAAACAAGTGACACAATTTCTTTCATTCCAATTACAACAAATAATTCCTGCAAGCCCTGCAGGAATTATAAAATCCTGCAGGATTTGTCACTTGCTTGGATCCATTGTAAAAACCTGTAGGAAATTCCTGCACATATTGTCAATGTGTCCTACAGGATTTTTGAATTCCTGCAGGACAGCCCCAGATAGCAAACCGATGTTGATTCAACGTCGAATATTGGTTATAATAGTCAGTATCAGTCGGCGATCAAATTTCAACATTGAACCAACGTTCATTATTTGGTCGGTACATCGGAAGGATTTTACGTTGAAAAAAAGATATTGATTCAACGTCGAAATTTCGACATTGAATCAACGTTCATTATTTCAATATTTAAATATGAATCAATATTCATTATTTGGTCGGTAAAATGCCGTTTGCATCAGTGTAAGTAGAGAAATACAACAGCGAGTGCCCTTAATCTTGCCTTATACTATGTATTTTAAGCTGTTTTGGGAAGACAAATATGCAAGTTAGTTATTTGCACAGGCTAGCATGTCAAGAATTTAATTTCACTTTTATTTTGTTTTACTTTGTTTAATTATCTTGTTTTTTTTCGGAATATTATTCAAGTTTCTTAATCCCGTGATATATGGCAGTAGGACTGTTTACATTTATTTTGCAATAAAAATGCATTTTGATATTTCATAAGTACATCAGTGGTGTAGGCTAAACTGGATATTTGAAATTCATTTTATTCAGTTAATGTGATCTCTTCCCCTATATAACCATATGGTTTAGGTTACCATAAGGTTTTTTTTTAATTCAACCCATATAAATTGTTTGTAACAACTTTGTAGAAACATTTTTTAGTATACATTTTATCAGATATAGGCCAGCATTTGTAACTAAAAACTAGTATAAGCTAAATTAAATTACAACCAATTAATTTTATGTGTGAACGGTTACAATCTTTTTCGGTGACATCTTTTTCTTTCATATTAGGCTATTTCTCTAACCAGAAATTATTTAAAGAGCTTATTTTTATCCTGCGTGTCTAAAACGTGACAATTTTTATTAGAAAATAATTAACACTTTAAGTTTATTTGTTTGGTAAATCAAATTTGCCATATTTAAAACGGCTTGTATTATACATTTAAAAGGTGTACATTAAAATTTTTATTGTTTATTTATAGCTTTCTGTTGAAAAATATAATTGCTTTAGCAGCAATTTTTATCGTGCCAAAATATGGATAATTGCAACATGTTCCCACATCATGACATTAATTTAAATGTTTGTCAACATTACATGAAATTACATGAAAATGTAATACTTTATGGTTTGGGTAAATAAAGAATTCATTTCAGTATTTCTTCGAGAAATAGCGTTTAGGCTACTTTTGTCACACCTTAGACACATACACAGCATGCGAAAGACGATATATTTCAACATTCATTTAGACACATTAACAGACATAGTCAAAAAAAAAAAAAACATTTTATAGAATAACCCAATAAACACCTTCTCTCTCTCTCTCACACACACACAAACATAATTCAACAAAACAGTTTAATAGATTTAAGCATGTTTTAATAAGTGTTATGACTCTCCTGTTGCGGAGTCAGATGCATAAAAAGCATTGTGCTCAGTTAAACAGACAAAATGTTGCCATCCATTAACAATTTGACTTATTTATTTGGCATCTTTATATTCTTGTTTGTTACATGTTGTTGTTCAACAAATGACATTTGATTATAAATTGTAGTAATATTTATTGGAAATTCTTTGGCAGTTTGGCGTTACATTGTTCCGCCATAAGATAGCAACAGAGATCAATATGATCAGTTCTTAATGGTGCAAATATTTTTTCTCAATGGATATTTAAATCTACAGCTAAACAAAATCATCACAAAACAGGTAAATCTCACCAAGTCCATCTATCTCTTTTATATTTTTATTGTTTTAATAATAATATAGTAATGTAGTGGTGTTTGCTTTGATTTTTGCCAACTCTGTTTGTCCAGTTCTAGTTATCTAAACTCATTAGCTTTGATGTCTTCTGTGGTGTTCACCAGGTAGGCTGGATCCAGACTGGAATTGGTACAATTTCTAGAATCCTTTGAATGGACCTTCTAGGATAGAAACAGGAAAGCATAAGTACACAAATTAACATAGATTCCATTTATATATTTTTTCAGACAAAAGATGAGTTTTTTTATTATTTATTAGTTATAACTGTAGAATAAAAGTAAGGACAAAAATGTATAACTTAAGAGTCTCAAATATTATATATAGTACAATGTCTTTGATACATTCATTTTGACATTGCAACTGTATATATTCCCAAATCATGTTTAACAATACTGTATATTTTTCCAAAGTATTTTCTATAATATTCTTTCTTCAGGAAAAAGTATTTTGTTTAATTTTAGCTAGAATAAAAACAGCCAATTTTTTTTAACCATTTCAAGGTCAACATTATTTAATAATAATATTTTTATTAAGTAATATTTTTGATTGTCTACAAAACAATCCATCATTATACAATAATTTGCCTAATTACCCTCAATGTCACTTTAAGCAGAATACTAGTATCTTGAAAAATATATAGTCAAATTTTTACTATTTACTGTCATCATGGCAAAGATAATATAAATCAGTTAGGGATAAGTAAACAGAAATGGAGGAAAAAAATTAAACAGGGTGGCAAATAATTCAGGGGGTTAATAATTCTGACTTCAACTGTATATGTATGTATGTATGTACAGTATGTATGTATGTATGTATGCATATATAAAATCCATCATTCCAAGGAACATTCAAACAGGGTCGCAAACTTGTATGCTTGCAACTATACCTCTAGAGCTGTAGTCAAAAACAAAGTTCCTAACTGTGCTCTATTCCCACTTATTCCCCCTATGCCCTATTAATTTTCATTTAGAACATTCTAACATTTAACCTTGGAATGATTTTAAAAAATGCATTAAGGTCATCTCTCTTAGGTGTAATTTGCTTTCAAAGTATTCGTACAGTTCAGTTTTACCGATCTTCATGTTTATAATTGTGCTCCCTTCACAGTGCATTTTACAGTTATGCCTCATGACGAAAGCTATAGGGGACCTATTATTTAAAAAGCTGAATTTACGTTACGTCTCCAAAGCTTGTGAAACCAAAAAAAAAAAAAAAAAAACACATAGCATACGTTAATTATTTTCATTTATAGTGGGTTATTTATTAAGTATCTGTACTGTATAACACATGGGCCGGTGGGTCAGAACATTTCTGCAGTGGTTTGCATGTGTCAAATTATAAAAGTAGACTTTTCCAAAAAAATTAAATTTATAAGCAATATCCTAAATAATCATCATCATCATTATTATTATTAATATTAATGTAGGATTTTTTCAAATTTCCTAATAATCCTATATGTGCCATTTACATACATTTCAATTAATATGGAAAGCGAGTGGATGTTTTTACCATAACTAAAATTGAATTTTTAACAGGTTTTGTGTAAAACAATATAATTTGCACAAAGAAATTATGGGGTTCTTCTCTGAAGAAGTTGATTATGCCTGTTTAGAGCGTCATAATGGACGTTTTACGCTATAACTAACATGGTTTAGACGATGGATCTGTGACAGAGAAACTGCGGGTTTTGGGAAAACACTCGTGACTACATCGTTTTTTTCCCAAACAATGCATCGTACTATGATTGTGCAGCTGCAAGTTATGTCGTTGTTTGTTTTTTCCTTGTTTGTCGTTGCACCCCAGATCTGTTAATGAAATGTTATTTGAAATGTTAAAAAAAAAATACAAATAAAAAAACATTTTAAAACTTATTTTAATAGTTTTAATATTTTGGTGCTTTTTTATTTCATTACAAAAGCTCTAAGAGAAAAGATTTTCAAGAACCTTGTTCACATGTTTCTGCATTATTACAGATGTACTATGTTATTAGTCACTTATTCACTTATCTACAATTAAAAATAGTGACAATGTGGCATAACTCTGTTAAATGCTTAGTTTCTGTTACTGGTAAATATAAATATTTAGATGATCAATACTACCTTTGCTACTACCTGATACGATTTCGTTATCTAACATATCTGTCTGTAAGTTAACATTGGTCTCACACTGCTCTGTTCTCCTCACATTACAACACAATTACTCTTCTCTAACTGTTGTTATGTCTGTTGGTCTGTCCACAGGCTCATAATTGTATGGCTGTGATGCATCGTTGGTGTGAATGTCTCAGAATATCTTATTTTGGCATCCAAACGTGCACCGCGATCAGTTGTCTTCATACTGTTTATATGTGCGATCTTCCTAGTTCAACGTCACTTACAATCTGGTGATTTTTCACATGCGGAAGAACATTTATGTGACTAAAACGACTACAGATGGCTTAAAAATAAACTTTAACGTGTATTTTAAAGAAAATGTAGTTCCTACTTTACTCTCATGCACATTGACTCACTGGGGTGTCTAACCTACAATATGCTCTTTAAGGCATGTGCTGTTTATGAACTAGCTTTAAAAACAACATACGAGTCACATGAGTTCATATGTGAATATCACTACCTTAGTTAGTTGTTAGTTTATTGTTTGCTAATGTAATACAATTTTCAACTACTCTTGAACTCCTGTTTAAACTGTTTATTTTGATGGAAACGGAACACATTTCTACTGCTTTTCAGTGTAAACACGTATTAGATCAACCATTACATTTAAACACAGGAGTTCCAGAATAATTAGAAATGAGTTAAGGATAATGTGCCCCAAGTAAAATCATCCTGACAAAGAAAACAAGTTTATGTTAGTTACATTTAGCTTATGTAAAAACAAACATGAACTAACAAATAATTATACTAGATTTATTGTATCTAGATCTATTCTCATTTACTGTTAATAGATCATGGTAAGAAATTATGCTATTTGCACTTAATGTAAATAGCCATTGCCATTTTCTTATTCTGTTGGCTGATATTTGCCAAATAAACGTTTTTTCCATGGCATACTTTAAAAATAAATAGCCTATTAGTTCATTAACATACCATTCTGATTTTCTCCTGCTATATTATAAAAGTGATAAGTATCAAACTTTTATTGTCTCAATTGCAGGTGTCTTTTTGTTGGGTTGCTTTTTTCAAAATGAATCGTAATATTGGTGCCCCATTCAGGGTATATATAGGCAGAACTGTATAAACCCAGATTTTAAAAAACATGGATTTTTAAACACTTTTTCCAGTACCTATTTTTTATTTTCAAGACTGACATGCAGCGTACTGAACACCTGAAATGTATTCTCAGCAATGCACTTTAAATTCAATAAGAACTCTCCAATTTATTCAAATAAAATATATTAGTAATGTAGTAATTAATAATATATTCATAAATAAAAATATAATAAACCTACAATAAATGTGCTTGTAAAATAAAAAATTTAAATATGTATTTGTTTATGTTCTCTCAAAGATGAAAAGAGAACTGAAAATTTGTACCCAAGTAAAAATACAACTACATTGGTAAAATAATAGTACTAGTAACTAATACTAATATTAAGTGTACAAGTAAAAGTAAAAAAGTACTCTTTTAAAAAAAATACTCAAAATAAGCAATTAGTTAGTTTAATAAAAAACAGATTTTCATAAAGGCCCTTTTCAACTGTAAACTTGATAGAATGGTTCAAGTGTTTAATCACAAGGATAGATATATGGGAATGGAAGTGTGGTTGCTTTTTCCTTCACCATAATTAATTTTTCAATACCATTGGCAGAACTATAAGGCCATAGATATATTTGATGTCCATTTTATTAAACAATATTTTCTACTTTGAAATGTTTAATTAAAGTATATGAAGAAAAGATTGAAATTGTCTTTTATTTACACATTTTACACTATTTTACTTATTTGCTCACTGCTTTGCAATATGGCAAATTTGTTGAATATATAGCTTTACAGCACATGGAAATTATGTTTTACACTTGATTTTAAACTAAAATGATTTTACAAATAAGTACTCTGTCAGTTATGAAATAACAAAACAAATGACTTCTGTATTTGAAATATGACAACACTAAAATTTTTGAAGCAGTGTTTTAAGAGCCTTGTTGTTTACTTGCAACATTTGCAGAAATGATTGAATGCACAATACCTGCATTACCTCGTCAAAATTCAAATTGTATTTAGAAGAGAGTGACCGACAGGAGGCGAGTCAGTTGCTGTTAGACAAAAAAAGTCTGAGATGTAATTCGGTCAGAATGGCCGGAATAAGAAAACAATAACAGACATCTCTATGGTAAAAACATTTGAAAAGCATTATGCCAATCAATCATTTGTTTTAAATTTTTTTTAATCCAAAAAAATAATAATTGTTTTCCATTTCTAAACACGCATGCTGTGCCCCATATGGTAAAAAACCTGACAAGTGGACAAATCTAAGCTTGTTTTTAAAAAAAACAAATATACACATGCATATAATAAATAATACTACTAATAATAATAACATTAACATTATTCAAAAGCAAGTTGTGAATAAACTGAAAAAGTCCCCCCGAGATAAATGCATGAAAGCAGTGGTTTTTATATTCATGTAGAAAATAATAATTATTCGAATATTTTATTCCTTTAATTTCTCTATCATATGTAAATATATTTGCGTATTGCTGTACATCCTGCGTGTTTTAAGCAATGTGTAAGGAAGGCGCACAACTACTGCGCTCTGTGCTGGACTTTAGACCTGCTCTTAGCTAGTCTATTGCGCAGCAATGCGCCTTTACACACCTCTTACCTAGACCGAAACACCCATGAGTCCACAAAGTGGAGCAAATGGATTTACTATTTAAACAACATGGTGGAAAACGGCAAAACTAGTGTTGCGCTGGTCTAAAAATAGAAACACGTCTTGCTCCTTATTGGGCCAGTGTATGATAGGTGTATGATAGGGCCCATTGTATTACATCTAATAAACAAAACTGTTTTTATTAACATCAAATTTGCTTTAAAAAAACTGATGTCTTTAATTAAATTTTTTTTTTGTGTTTTTCAATTTTCATAATGTAAATGTAATTAGCTCATTCTGTTATTATGAACATATGGTTGACAGACCTACCTAGTGGTTAATCCTCCATTCATGCAGAATCAAGGCATCTAGTGTATATAATCATTCAACTGACTACAGGCATTAGGTCATCCTGGAAAACAAGAAAAATATCTTCACTAACATTGTAAAAGCTGCACATATACTTTAATTTTATAGATTTAAAAAGTGATTGTTCACCAAAAGGTGAAATTTACTCACTATTTACTCTCCCTCTAATGCAGGGGTGTCCAAACTCGGTCACTCTAATCAAACACACCTGAAGCAGCTAATCAAGCTCTTACTAGATATACTAGAAACCCCAGGGCAGGTGTGTTGAAGCAAGTTGGAGCTAAACTCAGCAGCACAGCGGCCCTCAAGAAACCTTCAAGGGTTTCTTTAATCTGTTGGACAAAAAAATTAAAATAAAAGTAACCACATACTGTACTATTTATGGAAGTCAATGGGTAAAGGTTTTTAACATTTTTCTAAATCAATTTATTTGTTTGGAACAGAAATAAACTTAAACAGGTTTGTAACCATTTAAGGATGAGTAAATGAAGGCAGAATTTAAGATTTTGGTAAAAAAAAAAAAAGCCAAATATAAAACAAGCATCTTATTAAACTTATGGAACAGGCAATAAATATGCTGATGATTCAGTCTTTGTGAGCCTCTTTTATGGCAGAAAAGAGAAACATGGCCATTCTTGGATTTTTTCATAAAGTGATGTAATGATTCTAAACGTGTTGAATAAAAAAACTAAGAAATGTGTATAGACTTGAGAAAAAAATAAAATATTATATATATAAGTTTTTTGGCCTGGTTTCAAAGATAGGACTCGTGGGTTAAGTGTATTAACACTCAAGCTAAGCAGAGACATTATTTTTTGATGTCCTTTTGAATCAGCAATAAAATGCTTAAGATGTTAAACTCTGCTTTTATTGAAAGTATATTGACTTGTTTGCAATATTTGCTGGTATGCTAATGCTACTGAGACTCAAGAAAAGTGTTTAAGGAAAATAGTCACCACTTCTAGTAAACTGGTGGGCATTACATTACCAAGCATGGAATACATTTACAAAGATGGAGTGGTCATAAAGGCAATCAGTATTGTGGCTGATTTAATGCACCCATTTAGTTCCTCATTTGACTATTTGCCATCTGAGCAGAGATACTGTCTCCCTGTGGTGTCAAAAACAGGGCAATAAGACTGACAAATAACTTTAACAAGTAGTTTTAAGTCAGCTGGACTGTTATTGTGTTTTATTCTATTTATTTATTTTATATACTGTTAATTGTGAACATGTTGTCTTTGGCATGTTGTTTGGTGTGATGCCTGCTAAATAATTCTGCAAATCAATAACAACTAAACAAATATACAAACTAGACAAATAACCCTACCTACCTACTATCTAACAGCATAATCGATGATTTTCGCCTGCACCTTGTAGTACACTCCTTTTTGAGAGCCATCTTGAAAACCTGAGTGAATCCAAGTAGACAGACAAACAGCTTATGGAAAATTCAAATTCTACATAAGCTCATATGCGAGGGCCACAAAGATGAAACACTGCCTTCATTCTGGTTGAAGAAAACGGATGTACCTCTAACTACAAAACAAAATGATGAAACAGGTGAGATATTACATATTAATAATAAAAATGCCAGTTATCATCATCATCATCATTATTATACATTTAAAAAACAAAAAGAACATATTTACATGAAATCACACATTTTCGAAGGTTAATCATCATTAATTAATCCATCATAATCTGTTCTTTCCTTTCCCAATGTATGATCTCTTAAAATATAAAGACGTTTCCTGGATACACATTTATTAATACTAGTATAAAATGTTTAGATGTAATTTATGTGAGGCCTTAAAGAAAAGACTTAAGCAAATATAAATAAAATTACATAAGATAAATAAATACAGGACCTATGCTACTTGGTAAAAATAGGTATTGGCAATGAAAATATATATATTTTTTATAATAATGACAACATTTTAGAGTTGGCTAGTTTAAAAAAGAACAGTTGTAAAAGATTTGTTTGACCTTTGAGTTTCTAAAATTCACTCTATGGGGAAAATATTAACTTGAGAGCATTTTAAAAGATATAGGCACCATTAAATCAAAGAACATAAATTAATATATAAATATAATCAATATACATGTATATTATTTTAACTGTAATATTCACATTAATTTATTAATTACTTAACAATTATAATACAATTATTATGTTTTTTTAAACATCATTGCTGTAATTATTTATTAGGAATTGAATATAGGAATTGAGTGAATAGGATATATGAATAATTTAGACAAATACAAAAATGCGATTAAATAATAAAATCAATAATAATTTAATAACCCTACACAGCACTTTTTATTCATATCTAATGACGTTTATAACACAAATAAGACGTTTTAACACATTTTAATCTTCAATTATTCATTATTAAACCTTTTAATTTGTCACTTCTTACTCTGTGACTAGCGCGCGAAACCAGGCGGTGGGCATATATAAGCTGAGGTCTGTGCCCATCGCGGACACAGCCTGGGTCATTTGAGTGGACATTCCTGTGTACATTAACTGCCAGTTTTCCTGAGGTAAACGTCTTTTTTAACTTTATCGTTGTATTTTATTATAAATTGTTTATAACTTGTTCATACAAGTACCTACGAATAAAATGGTGTTTTAAATATCAAGAATAATGGTTATTATATCGAGTACGTTATTCATTAATAAAGATGAGGGGTATTTGGCGCTTATTTTCGTGTTAATAACAATATTTACAATGTCATAAAAATGTCGCTTTTAGTAAATGTACTACATTTACTATTCAAAAACAGTTTTCTCGTATTTTGTCCGTGTTTTCTCTACAATCGCTATATGTAGGCTATCTTACGCCGCTAACGGTTTAAACGGTAAAAGCCGTTTTGCGAGTATGAAGCATTTTACGCTAACTAACGTTGGTAGTCACACAAATCCGACTGAGACTTTAATTTAGAGTCCGTCATATTATTTGTTAGATAAAAAAGCAAAACAATACTACAAACAAACAGCAGGTTGTCCAACATTTGGTTTGACTGTGAATTAATGTGCGTGTATGTACAGTGCCTGTGCGTGTGTGTGTGTGAAAAAAGCGCTAGCTCATTCATTCATTACAGCCAGGCTATGAGACCGAGAAACGCTAACGCTATACTTTTAAATTAATATAATAAGCTGTAAGGTTTCAGTCGGATAGAGTGCACTCTGCGTTTTGCTTATCTTATAAGTGCAATTTTAGGCTATGTTTTTAGTCTTTATTAACTGTGTAATCTGTTTTCTTTTCAGTGCCGACTGCCCCTGCTTCTTGTAAGTAACGTTACCATTAATTTTATACAGAACTTTAATCAATTTGAAAAAAACATTTAAAACTACAAATACTTTAAATTTAGACATTTGCAATAAAATCTAATTTTGTCTTATTTTTTCCCCTTATTTTGTTAACATCTTTGGAAATGTAAGTTTTAACTGACAATATTTACACGTCTCAATATTTAAGTTTAGACAATTTAGACCCGTTTTGACCCGGGACCTCTAATTATTATTATCAAATTAAAATTATAATCTTATATATTTTTTATAATTTTTAAAACATTTATCATTAATATAAATTATAAATTGAACTGATTATGAATTGAAATCGTTTTTGAAATCAAGATACTTAAACAAAACCCGGGAAGGACATTGAAAGGTTTGTGGTGAGACAGTTTGTTTAGTTGCTTGGTATCATTTTGAAATAATTAGTTGTTGTGAATGCTTAGATCAAGTGAATTTGTTGATTCATCCAGTATTTATCCAACAGGCTTAGTAGCAGCAAAGTTAGACTATATGTTTTTCACATTTTTATAACATTTTAAGTTAACACATCTTTGTATATTTTTAATAGTCTGTCTCTAAATGTAATGTATCTCTGCGTAGAACCTAGCCTGCGATCACTTTTGCATATGCAGAAAACATTTATTTCAATTAAAAACCGAATATATCCTTAATTGTTTAATTAATGCATTAACCCAGTAAGTGTTTTACAATGTCATGCAGTTATGACACCTGTCGAAGTTTAATGTAGCTTGAACACACGAAGAACATTATTTATGTGACATAAGTGACGCATCGCGACATAGTGACACTGAACCGTGGGGTGTGCAGGTTACCACGAGTAAAGCTTAAATAAAGTGATAAAGTGTAAAAAGGTTTTCACAAATCAGAGAACTATTTGATCAGGGAAAACGCAGAAAGTTTGACAAATGTGGGTTTCCTAAGTTTATGTATAGTTACATGAAGCCATGTAAAGCATTTTTTCCCACTTTTATAAAATGTCCCTGAATATTAAAACTTTCACCTGTCCGCTAATGCGAGCGCAATTTGCGTCAGGCTGATTATTTGTCACCATTTACTCACCAAACAATGCAAGATTTATTTACAACCTTATGATTTATTTCTCTTTTAATCTATAATGGCAAGCGCATGACCGACGCCTCACGGAAGCCACAGTTCAGTGTCCCACCTACTTCATCATCTGACTTACTACAAAGCAACGCTAACTTACATTTATTTACTAACGTTAACGTTTCCTTACGTTTTATCACTCGCTTTTAACCCTAATACCCTGCGCATAGACATGTAGAAACTGACATTGCTAATTCCTATGCAAGAATGAAGTAAAATATTTTCGCCAACGTTAGCTTACACAGACTTCATATGATGTCTATATTTTCATGATTTGTTAACACATTAGAATATAGTAATGACAATAAAATACTTACCTGGTCAGCCTTTAGGTGTTTGAAAACATTAACAATGCCCACAACAAATGCAACCACGATACTGCAAATCTCCGAAGCATGCGAGAATCTCGGCGGGAATTTTTTCTTTAGCACGTTTTTGGCGAACGACACACTGCTAGTTTATACCGCCGCCTAACGGAAAAATGGTCATTTACTCCAAGACCAAAAGTGTCCCTAGGAAATAACTAAATAAACACTTCCTAATAATGATAATCCAATAAAATTTTATTTGTATAGCACTTTTCATAATTACTCCAAAACAACTTCACAAAAGATGCAAATATTAGTTTTCACATCTTAACCAGGATTGTCAATAATTATGGGGGGCACTGTAAATGTCGATGAGGCTGTTGGCCCGCTAAAAAATTAGCATACAATAAAAAAGTCATAGGTCAAATTAAACATCTTTAAGAATAAAAATGTAAAGTCTACTCATGGCTTCTTGTTTGTTACTGGGTTGGAAGGTCTTATCACTGGCATTGTGTTTCACATTCTTTGCTAATATCTTTATGCAATTTCAGATGTTATTTTACATATTAACATATTACACAAAACATTTGTTTAAGAACTTTGTTTAATTGTTAATTGCCTATTTTCGCAGTCATCCTGCATCTCTGACTTGTCATAAAAATTAATTATGTGTAAAATATATTTTTAATTTGCAGACAGTGCTTCAGTAATGTTTTTCTTTTTTTTCAGCAGCTGAATAAATCCAATTCGATCTTTTAAAGCCATCTAAACACAGAACATCTAAGCTTTGTAAGTATGTTTTAACTGTATAATACTGTTAGATTAATTAAAGCTACATAATTTTGTATGTACAAAAAACCGGCAAACATCGTCCCAGTCTCATGTTGACTTTAACAACGCATTTAACAAATGCCTGGCTGGTCCATGATGGTCATGTATATATGTGTATATATATATATATATATATATATATATATATATATATATATATATATATATATATATATATATATATATATATAGATATATATATAAAAAATGGTACATAAAGGCAATGATAAAAGCTTAAAAGTTAAACTGATTGAAAGATGTTTGCATCCAATTCAAGTCTTCTATCACTTTATGTTGAACATAAAATGTAAAAATTCTTAGATGACATAAAAGTAGTGTTGGATAGAGTACACTTTAGGAAACACAGATATAATCAAAATATCACTCTAGCTAAATTAAATATAACTTTTGTACCTTCAGGAAAATACTCATGTGCACCTATAAGCTTTGGCAAAACATGCCTTTATCAGTATCAATGTCATAATGCATACACATGCACATGCACATGAGTTTGCTTTTTAATATATTAGCCATGTGTTAGCAATATATTAGTTAATAAATATTATTAACTGTCATCATGGCAAAGATAAAATAAATCAGTTATTAGAAAATAGATATTACAACTATTATGTTTAGAAACATGATGAAAATTTTCTCTCTGTTAAACCAAAATTGGGGAAAAAATAGACAGTGTGTGTGTGTGTGTGTGTGTGTGTGTGTGTGTGTGTGTGTGTGTGTATATATATATATATATATATATATATATATATATATATATATATATATATATATATATATACACATACACACACATACACACACAAAAGTATACACACACACACACACACACAGTTGAAGTCAGAATTATTAGCCCCCCTAAATTATTTGCCGCCTGTTCATTTTTTCCCTAATTTCTGGTTAACGGAGAAAATATTTTTTCAGCACATTTGTAATCATAATAGTTTTAATAACTCATTTAACTGATTTATTTGGTCTTTGTCATGATGAGAGTAAATAATATTAGACTAGATATTCTTCAAGACACTTCTATACAGCTTAAAGTTACATTTAAAGGCTTAACTAGGTAATTACGTTAACAGGTTAGGGTAATTAGGCAAGCTATTGTATAACGATGGTTTGTTCTGTAGAATATCGAAAAAAAAAAATATATATATAGCTTAAAGAAGCTAATAATTTTGTCCTCAAAATGTTTTTTTTTAATAGAAACGTCTTTCATTCTAGCCAAAATAAAACAAATAA